AAATTTCAATAGTTTTTAAGCTACACATGCAGAACCATAATCAAAATGTCAGAGAGTATGTTTCTGAAAAATACCTAAATTTTCCAAGCCTCTAGGGTCAAAACAGAAACAGTGTGATATACATGCCTCAGTTTTCCTAATCAGCTAAGAAAATACAGCCGTGCCTATCTAAAAATTTCCTCTTTAATAAGGTCTAAATAACCATTAGATTAGATACTATAGTAGGTTTCAACTTCAGGAAGAGCTAAGCCCAGAAGAATGAAGAACAACACTCTGATCCAGAGCAGTCCCTCCAAACAAATAAATCTATAACCAGAAAAATTACTTCTACTTTTCCTAAACTATAAATGGCTTTAGAAGTATTGAGGAAGAATTAACTTCTCTTATGGCAGAAGAACTGAAGTTCCTTCTAAGTAGACAAATCTACAATCTTTTAATGCCCATTTTCATCTCCATGCCAAAGACTTCCATTTTGGAAGGGGCTCAGATCTGCAAAAATTTTATTTGAATACAGACATGTTTCAGGTGAAAACAGATAAGCTGCTATTCTTCATCACACAACATGCCTACAGATCTGTCTCAATGGAGTTTTCATTAGAGCTTACCTTCAGGAAAACAACAGGATCACCCTAAAGGAGACGCAGGGCAGTTAGAACACTACTGTGCTCTCTATTCACAGGGTATTTAAACAGTATAAAGGCATTTTTGTCCTCCAGCAGAATATCTGCATGGTGAATGTGGATATGACAAGAATCAATACAGAGTTAGGAGTTCCTCAGCCTCGAAACTGTCAATGCTCATAAGGCACTTTTAAGACAGTAATATTTGACAGAAGAATAACTGTTTAATCTGCTTTGGCAAAGTGTGGCATATAGATTTTTGAATACAGGAAGCAATCCTGAGACTTAGAGTAAACTCTCTATTCAAAAACTTGTCTGGTTAAAGATAGCAGCTACCAGAAAAGTGAGGAAAAAAACCAAGTGCTATTTCAAAGGCCGATTGATTCGTTATCTCAAAGCAAAGCTGACCCCTCCTCAGTTTTATTCTCTGTACCAGACCAGAAGCTGAATGCCATCAGTTTTATTTTGATATATGTCTGTGGAGTTAATATATGGAGTTAATCATCATAAGAGGCATTTCATACTGGGATGCATACAAACAATTTTATATACCATTATCAGATGTTCAAGAAAATACTCAAACCTCTTTCATTTGGACACCTTTCTACATTCACATTAAGGCAGATGAATCCAACTTTATGTTGCTCTTAAGGTGAGAAACCATGGATCTTGCACCAAATGGAAGTGTTCCGTTTCTGACTTATTTTCAGCAACCATAAACTTGATGATTATTTCGCTATTTACATAATCTGATTATTTGGTTATTTAAATAATCAAATCTATTGATTCTGGACCTGTGTTTTGTAGTTGGCAGAATCCCATGAGTTTGAAAAACTAGGTCCAATCACAGATTAGTCTGTCTCAAAAGATACAAACTCTTCAGGCAAAACCACAAGTATAATGACCAGTATTCTCTCTTCCCTATCTTCTGTATGGTCCTAAAGGAACAACAAGGGAGCAGCACGGGCAAAGTAAAGAGCACCAGTCATTTAGGAAAGAAGTTGAGTGTTCTGCAACACCCACAATGCCTGGAGCCCAATGCCCTCAAACTGGTACTTCCAAACACAGAGGTCAATCACCAATTCTCTAAAAATCACTTGAAAATGAAGATGGTTCTTAATCCAACTTTAACTCTTTCTACCCTGATGAGTAACACATGGAGAGACAGGATATCCTGCACTTTAAAGACAAAATTGATTTTATTTCTGATACAGACATGACTAAATCCTTTCCAATGTATTTATGAAAACTGTAGCAAATGTCTGACCATAGTAGAAAACAAGTGTTTCCTCAAGACAGTATCAAAACTCAACCCTCCCTGGTTGTCTACAGACTAAAGCACACCTTAAATATTTCTGCCATAGCAGAGGCGATTCATCAGAAGAGCAACAATCACCACGCTTTGAGCATGATAGTGTTACTTAAAACAGCAGTCAAAGGTCAACTGTCCTCAGAAGTGAACTGAAACTCTTAAGGTGCAGTCAGTCTGATCTATTAATTTGGTACTCCTCTGACCACATAGCAAGTCATACCAACTTGCTAAACCAGAGAAATAACAACTTCATCCCAAAAGAGCTTGTTATTGTCAAGCTGACTTTGTCTACCATGCAGTCGAACTATCACAAGAACCAAGCATAACCAAAGAACACAGGACTAATCAGTTGGAAACTGAGTAAGAGAGGAAGGGGGAATTGTCTTAGTTGTCTCATGAAACTACACCCTTGCTGGACTTCAGGCATTAAGAAAATTGCACCAGAAGATCCTCGCATGTGGCTCCAAGCATTTTCACACTAGACAATGTTCCTGTTCTGCTGCACATAATCACATTTATAGGGAGTTGTTCCACTAATACTCACCTTTGCCATTTCATGTACTACCGAGTACTTGAGATTTGTTCTGGTCAAGAAATTACTATGAAGACAAGCATTCCTACTTTGTAGTTAGTTATGTTTCTAAAATTATTAAGTTACAGATGAAGCTAAAACTGCCTATTGACTTGGTACTCGCAGTCTTAAGCTGTTAACACTCCCAACCCCCTTTAGCAGTACAAAGGCAGGAAACTGCAAAGAGTTTAAGGTTCAGGGAACACTGCTCACTGCAGTGGAAAACAACTGCTTTCATCATTGAAAGTAAAAACATCTTCTCTCTAAACCATTGAAAGGAAGCTCCAATACACAACTGAGGAATAGAAACTGTAGTTGGTTCATACCTGCAGTTACGCACCTCCCTCTAGCCGATCCAGTCTTCACTCTAAAATATAAGGAAAAAAAGACATTGACTACTCCAGAGTTAAAATCAGGTAATAACGATCATTACAACGCAAACTCCATCTTGTAAAACGCTGAGGACTGTGAAAGTAAAGCATATTTTTAATAACAGAAATCATCATGAGGTGGTAATAACCCTCATTAGACTCAAAAATGAAGTTGCACATTTCAAAAATACAGAGAATAAACGAAAGGGTGCAAAAGAAAGGACTGCAAACACAACATGGCTGAACACAGAAGTCTTGTAGCTTCCTAATAACATTCAGTGGACTTATCCTACCTGTCTGGCTTTTTGGCTCTCATGACAGAAGCAGAGTTACCAACGGCAGTACCCACGATCCTAAGCTCCTGTATTACATTATTTTGACAGCAGCAGCACTAACAGATGACAATGAACCTGCAGATGGGAAGTCTAATGTAAGATAGCATAGATGCAAATGTATGAAAAAGCTCTGAATTAAGGAACACAAAGAACTAACAACACAAGGAAAAAATGTTATTTCTACATCTTAAGCAAATCATCAACCAGGAACCATACAGATTTTCTGTACTGGCACCTCATAAGTAGGGGACGCTGCTCTGTGATTCAGGGTTCTCTTTTTGCAGATTCAGTAATTGACCCACAACACAAGCTAGCATATATTTAAACACAAACTTCGGATTTTTTTGGTTGTGTTTTTTTTTTGTTTGTTTGGTTTTGGTGGTTTTTTGTTTGTTTGTTTTAAAGAATTTCGTCTCTGCTTCCTCCTAGGTTATTTGGCAGAACTACACTCATGATTGTCTAGCAGTATTTTACAGAAAATCCAAATCCATTTACCTATCTATAATCAAAGCAAAACCTGCATCCATCTGCAGAGGGAAGAGTTATACAAGGCTATTTGAGTTCCCACATTTTCATTGCTTTGCAGGCCCTTCATAAGCCTTGTTCTATATTCTTTGAGAAATGTGGATAAGTGATCCATATCCTCTTCTAATTTGTCTTGTAACATACTTGGATATTTATCACATGTACTCATGCCCTCTTTTCCAGAGGGAGATCTCTTGAGAATTTTTATCCCTATTTTTTAGTAATTTTTATTGTTCTAATTTCTTCCTAATTTGTTCAATTGATTTAATAAAATATTATACCCTCTAAAGGAACACAGAATCCTAAAGACAACAACAAAAATTAATTTTCTTACAATACTAGTTAAGAACAATAAAAATCAATCCATGAATCCTGAGAAACATAACTCAGTTATCTGAAATGTGTATTTTCAAAATTATGAATTTATCTTTTCTAGAATATTACTGAAAACTGACTATTGGTCAGGGAACACTTTACATACTTATTTTCGTTCTGTTTCACAATAACATTCTGGATTATGAAGCTTCTACTAGTGATTCAGGCAAATATGTTACCTGAGGACACCTCCTTCCACCTCACCCACATTCCTTTGCTTTTTTGAAGTTTAATTAAAGAATATTTGTTTATGGCCAAAAAATGGTCTCAGATTCCTGCTAGCAGATCTGGCTTCAAAACATCACATAACACAAAATTTTTGTTTTCTTCCTTTTAAACCCAATCTTTGCCAGATATTTAAGCCCATAGAAGTTGTCATAAACTCTAGGTTATATTTCTGTGACAATCAGCTTTCAGAAAAAAAATGAAATGCACAGCTCATTGATCTTTTAAATGCTTAAGAATATACTGGCAAACAACTTTTTAATGTTAAAAAGAAAATCTTCCCTTCGCACACATGTAACTAAGTGAACGCTTCTAGAGAATTAATTTAAAAACTTCAAAGGAACCAAAAGTACAGCTAACATAGCCAGAGGAACCCATAACTCTTGGGAAAAAAATATACACCTCACTGAATCAAAGGTAATATCCAAGACAATAAAAACTTTAAAAAGCAAGCAGCAAATCTGACAACCACCTGTAGAAAGCGTGGGAGAATGCTCTTAAATCATAAATGTTTCTCAAAAGAAAATTGTTTTAGTATGGTTCATTTAATTGTATGCAGAACATAAATACCCCAAATACTTTATCCAAGATTATACATCAGACAAACCTAGCCCAAAGGCCAAAGAATCCGACAACTTCATTTCTTCTCAGAAGAAATCAGGACTTGGATACCTCAGATCAAGGTATATACAGCTGGCATGCTCTAGCAATGTGTGTAGCACAGCAATTTCTGTAATTAACTGACATGGCAGTAAGCTCTTGCGCAAACTGCAGATTCACCCCAGCCCAGCACTAGATGCTGATAGTGAACTGTTTTCATAGTTGCATGAGTGTAGGTTCTTAGTGGGGACAGCAAAACAATTAACAGGTGTAAATTGGGACATCTCATCACAGCTTTTGCAAAGAACATTCTTCCTGAAGTTGCCCCCCGACTGAAGTGCTGCATCTGAGTACAGATGTCACTTCCAACTTCTTCCGTACAAAGCTGGGAGGGACTACGATGCCACCTGACAATTCCATGTAGAAAAACAAAGGTTTAACACTTAGATTTAACACTTAGCCCTGCCAGATCTAAGAGCAACAAAATACACTCTCGCTGATGAACAAACAGCTGTAACTTCTGGTATGCAATATAATATAAATAGAACTGCAGCTGCTAATGAAAACAAGTGGCTCTAGCCACTAAGTACTAGACAATGGATATGAGCCCAATAAATCTAGTGATATACTGCTTTGATACTTAGTGGCAAAACTTCAGTCTCACCAGCACCCAGGACCATCTGTAAGAGAATACCAGATCATTTAATGGATTCTGATCAATGAAATTACTGTCACAGTCAGCACTTGTCTAGACCAGTTAGTTCTGATTTCTCATTACACTTTCCAGGAATTAATGTTCGTCGGATGTCAAGATTACCATTAAAAATTAAAGAGGCTAACAGATAAAACAGACCACATAGCTCAACCTCAGATATATCCTGGCGTCAACAGTCTCTCACATAAATCAACATTCAGTCTGGACTCACTGTGGATTTATATACTTTTAAGAACCAATATGGCCAATAATAAAAACTTGGAAACATAAAAATAACTATTTCTCTGGAGGAAGTGCAGGAGGGAGATAACGATGCATCAGAGAGTGAAGGAGCAAGTGCACTAGGTTAAGTCAGATTACGAATAGAGAGGCTGATACAAATCAGATGAAGTTTCAATTACTGTACAGCTTAGGCTACAACCCACAGAAAGCATGTCACTTTCTAGTAAATGTTATTTATGAGACAGCAAGACAACAGAGATAGCGACAAGAAACTCCTACAGTGCCAAAACCTTACCAAGGAAGCAGCCATGCTTTCTTACCTGAGAAATGCCCGTCTTCTACTGCAATCTTTACACCACCCAAACCTTTCAGCACCAGAAGCTACTTGCTCAGTACCAGGCAACAGCTCCTAGTCACTGCGCCTGCTCACTTCATTTTTGCAGACAGAGCTGTCAAATACTGTTTTCCTCAGTGTTGCCAGCACAAGTACTAATGTGCATACAGGTGGGCAGACAATCTGTACCATTACTAAGTGGACCAGTGGAATTACTCACGACAGTATGTTCGACTATCAGAATTTAAGTCTGTTCAACTTAAGATATAATAGGAAGAACAGAATGAAGAATGGAAGAGGTGCACATTTTGGGACCACTGCAGATTAAGACAAAAAAAAGAGAGAGGAAAACATTTTAAATGCCCATGCTTCAAGTTACTGCAACCAGATCATAAAATACTTAAGATTTGGGATGTAGACCATATCTGCGATGTCTGTTCCATGCCCAGTCAGCAACTACAGCTTAAACATTCCCAAGATCGATCATTAGTCTTACAACCTATAATGAAATCATCAAGACACACTCTGAGAATGCAAAACAACCCTATGGTCTACTGTTGAAAACATGAGATTGGGGCTTAAAAGACATGAGTCCTGTTCCTAACTATGGGACTGAATAGCATTGGACAAGTCACTTTATGGTCCTAAGAGCTTCCATTTGTACAGTATTATCATCTTATTTGTTTTCTTTGTGAAAGATCTTTTGAGAACTAGTGACAGAATGTATTCAACAGGAGTCAGAGAGTATCATCACATTGTTACAGCTGCATCTCAGCTGAAAACGTAGTAAACAGCTTCATAAAAAAAAGTTTCCACAAAACATTTGTCTATTAATAAAAACCAAAGAATCTCACCAACAAAAGATTTAAGCTTGCTATATCCTTCCAGATTATGGCTTTAACGGACTCTCAAAATATCTCAAGAGTTGCAAATACAGAATGTACACACCAACGCAGCATTTTACTTACTTTTTGAGTGAGGATCCAAAATACTCAGAAAAGACGCATTCATGTTTTGCTTTACGGATACTGTACACGCCACAGGAAGATCTATCAAATGTATCCAGAGTTTTATGTCTTTTTTTGGGTAAAAGATGGAGGTGTAGCAAACAGAAACAATATTCTCAGTTTAACCACTAAGCCGCCTTCTAGAAGCAACAACACTAGCTGAACTGTAACAACCTCATCCATCTCAGCCACAAGATTCAAATACTAACACTTTCACTTACCTATCATTAAAGGCAAGATAAAAAAAATCTCAGTGGGAAAATCATCCTTGTGCAGTGTTTAGACAGACACAGTTTGCATAGCTCTGCATTAAAATAAGTTTTTTATAATGGTATCAAGGTACTTACACACTTCTTTCTTTTGATTACACAAAAGAGAATAGATTCAAATCCAAACAGAGAAGACCTATTGCAGGTCTCCCCACAAAGATCCTCAAATGCAATCACTGTTCTGTACTATTACACCTAAAATACTAAAAGAGGACACAGTACATATGACCATTTCCAGCACCCACTGCCAGCTTCAGAAGGAAAAGAATTTGGAGGTGTCCCAACTTGGAAAGATCAGAATTGAACTGGATACAAAATTCTGAGCAGACTTGAAATTCTGCATTTGCAAAATGTTTAAGTATAAACATTTATATTTTATTTCAAAGAAG